TCTGGTCACACGCAGTAGAAGAGACAGCCAATGTCAGATGATGGTAAGTGCCGTAAAGAAAAACAAAATAGGGAAGGGTGGTAGATAATGCTGAGAACAGGTGGTGGAGGGAAGGGGGTCAATTCTGAAAAGAATAGCCTGGGAGGGTTAACTGAAAAGGAATGTTTGAGGACAGGGAGGAGAGGGAGGAGGAACCCATTCAGCTATCAGGGGGCTGGAACAGGGGATGAAGAGCAAGAGATGGCGTAAGAAAGTTAAGCTGGTGAAAATCATATCATGTCTTGTAGGCCAACGCAAGGACTTTGAATGAGATGGGGAGCAAAGGAGTAACAAAATCTGACTTACAGTTTACAGCATCATTCTTGCTGCTGTGCTCAAAATAGTCTGTCGGGAGACAAGGGAGGAAGTAGGAAGGTCAGTTAAGAAGCCGATGGTAGTTTAGACCAGAGTAAAAGTGGTAAAGACTGTGAGAGTCAGGTTCTGGAGATATTTAAGGCAAAGCCAACAAGATGTATTGATTAAGTGGACGTAGGATGTGAGAGAAATGGAGGAGTCAGGGATGATTCTAGAATTTTAGGGGCCTGGGCAACTGGAAGGATGAAATCACCATTAACTGAGATGGGAAAGTCTGGAAGGAGTAGGGGTAGGGATAGGAGCTCATTCTGTTTTAGACATGTTAAAGCCTTTCAGACACTGGATGTGTTATACAGATAGCAGACTATATAAGGCTAGAGAGGACGGGCTGAAATGATAAATGTGGGCATCTCCAGAATATATAATAATACATAATTTTATGTATAATCATTCAGGATTTCCATGTATGATCACACGTACTTTGTATGACTATATGTTTATTATCTGCCCCCTAAACTGTAAGCTCCATGTGGCCAAGGACCAGGTCTGTTCACAGCCAGTAAAGTGCCTGGTACTCAGTAAATATTTACTGAGCAAATGGAGAAGTTGCCCAATTACTCTCTCAAGAATAGCCACAGCAGCCCACACAACGAGAAGCTGATTCGTTGCCAAGCCCAACCAGCTCAAAACAGGGCCCTGGGTCTGTCCACCCCGAGCTTGAGATTCCAGAACGTAAGTGGATACGCCTAGCACATCAGAGTCAAATATTTGGGTTTCAGCCCTGCCACATTCTCAAAGGGTGGAGCTGGGCAAACGACTGGCCTGTTCTACCACCTCTATTTCATCCTGGGGTGGCCAGGGGAGGGGGCTGCCTCACCCAATCACTTCTTGGGCAGAGATACTGATCTACCCAGGATATACATATATATATATATACACACACATATACATATACATACATACATATATATATATATATATATATATATATATATATAGTGGCAGGAGCCTCCCAAAGGAGTAAATCCCCAACTATTCTCTGAAGCATGCAAGGACCACCTAGCACCTGAAGGCGAGAACATGGAACATAGACCACTGGGTTTGCATTAAGAGTAACAGTTAAAAAAAAAAAAAGTGACAATCACAAAACTTGATGAGATGAGAAGACCACCTAATTCTTTTTTTTTTTTTTTTAAGTTTTCTTTCTTTATTGATTTTAGAGAGAGAGGAAGTGAGAGGGAGAGAGGTAGAAACATCAATGAGAGAGAACATTGATTGGCCGCCTCCTGTATGCTCCCTACTGGGGATCAGGCCCACAACCTGGGCATGTGCCCTAACCGGGAATCAAACTGGTGACCTCTTGGTGCATGGGTCAATGCTCAACACTGAGCCACACTGGCCGGACACCACCTAATTCTTCTAGCTAATACAGCACTGCCTGACCAGTGGGTGTCATGTCTCTGCTTCACCTGTCAAATGACTAGGAAGACAGAATTAAGGCCAAATGGTGATAAGGCATAAGATTTCAACTCAATAACTTTCCAGTTTTGAATAGTTGCCTTTGTGAAGATGATTACAATGGCTCTAATGATGTAGTATACCCCCCTCCCTTTCTAAGATATTGAAAGTGTGACCCAGAGAGGTTTGATGACTTGCCCAGGGTCACCCAGATACAGGCCCAGGACTAGAGCTCATATGCCAGCTCCCTGTGAGGCTTTCTTCCATTGCACAAGATAAGAGTTACAGTGGGAGCTAGGGGAGTTTTAGGCATTAGTGCTACAACATAAAACTGTCCTTATCAAAGGGTAAGCTGCAGATATTACAGAAATGTCAGGTGCACACTGAGATTAAGAAGGTTTCCTTCTTTTATACAAAACTTGTCATCTTATACAGTTCCCTTTGGCTTTGGATTATATTCATAGTGGGATCCATAGAATCGCAAAATTAATACACTATGAGGTAAAAAAAAAATGCAGAAATATACTTCAGTAAAATGTTTACAGGAAAAATTCAGATCAGCTTTCCAAAATCAACAAATAGTGAGTGCTTCCTCTGTACAAGTCACTGTGCTAAGTGCTGAGTATGTGTATGCGCATGTGTGTGTATGATTACGTGAGTGAGACAGACAAATACACACAAGAATTAGACAGAACCTGGTTCTTTAAGGCTTGCAATGTAGTTGCTGATATAAGACTGTAAACATCAAAGAAATGACTAATAATACAGAGTAGATAATTATTAAGTAAGTAGCATAATGTGTCTGAAGGAGTTCTCAGAAGCAGCAACCAGATCCACTGGGGAGGGGGTAAACTGTCAGGCAAGGTACTTCTAGAAAAATATTGGATTTGAGGTAGGCCTGGAAGAGAAGAAAAGCTCTTGATAAGCAGAGGGAAATTACATGAGCAAATACTGGTGGCCTTATTGTCAAGGAAGAGAAAGAAATCACGCCTTAAAAGGAAGGGCTGGACCAGACTTGAACAGCCTGGAGAATTAAAGTTCTTGTAGACAGGGGAGGTACAATTTTTTTTCTGAACATAGACTATATGGTTTGGAGCAGATTATTTAATAAACGTCTTCTGGGGGGCCTACAATATGCAGGACTGGATGAATGACTGAAGATGAACTTGCCTTTGGTGGGGAACTAACTTCAGCCTGGGAGCTAAAAGCTGCACTTGAGGTGACAAGGGCATAAAGTAGAGTATGGAAGGGAAGGTTTATAAGACCTGCTGAAGGAAGAAACAGCAGGTCCAAGTGACTGACTGGCTAGGAGGCAGAGGGTAGGAAGCAGAGAAAGGTCTTCAAAGTATAAAGTTAGGTGGCTGCAAGAATAGACGAGTAGCCCTGGCCCATTTGGCTCAGCGGTTGGAGCGTCAGCCTGCAGACCAGAGAGTCCTGGGTTCGGTTCTCACTAGGGGCACGTACCAAAAAAAAAAAAAAAGAATTGAAGAGCAAATGGAAGCTGACTCAGGGGAGAGATACAGAGCTTGGTTTTAGAAGTGTGTAATCTGAGGATAACTACATAAGAGTGCCCAGTGGGCATTTAGAGATATAAGTCTAATGTTTGAGAGGGAATAGTTGAAGATACAGCACAGGGGTCTTTCCAATGGACTAAGAGTTGTGGGATCCTGAGTAAGATTTCTCTGGGAGTTTAATGAGGGAGAACACAAAATGTTAAACTGACCCATGGGTGTGTCCTCACCTAGCAGTGATCTGAGAAAGAAAACCAAGACAGTCTAATGCCAATAAGGGAAGGGGGAGAATTTCAAGTAAAAGTTTCAAATGTGACAAAATCAATAATGTGAACTGAGCACACAGATAATATCTGTTGAATGAAAGAATGAATGAATGAAAGAAAGAAAGAACGCCTTTAGGTTTGAGAATCAACTTTCCTCAGTCAGCATGGCCAGGGTTGCCAAGAGGATTTCAATGTTAAATTTTACCCATCCCCCCTATAAAAACACATTTCTTTTTCTACAAGTCATCCTGTCCACCACACAGACATCCTTCCCTGCTTCCTCCATGTTTCCCCCATCCTCCTTTCCAGTTTCCGCAACCCAGTCAACACACCTTTGGTGTTAAAGGAGACAGGAAACTCCAACTAGAGTTTTCCACTTCATTAACTACTCTGCCTGTGGCTCCTCTTACATAAAGGGATATGTGGCAATTGGGTGGAAGAGGAGACTGTGTTCTAGCCCCATTTGTACTACAACTAGCTGTGTGGGTTTGGGCAAGTTGCTCAACCTCCCTGGATCTGGGCTTTTTCATAGATAGGAGGAAGTAGGGTCTATTTGGACTCTAGACAGGTTTCAAAGGTGCCCTTCAGCTCTGAAGTCCACTATTTTATCATTCTCAGAAGGTCCTTGCAACACCCTCAGAGAAGGGAGGAAGTATGAGATGCGGGGAAACGATGATCAGATGGTCACACTTCTTCCCGGGGTGAAGGGCCAGGATAGGAGTGTACCAAGAAAGTGAGAAGGCACTGCCCAGTCCTCGCGGATCACCAGTGAGCAGATCCCATTCTCATGGCCGGGAAGGATCCCAACACACCCGAGGGCGATTCCTACCCGCCACCCCACTTTTCCAAGGTTCCCAGACGGCCGGGAGGCTCTAAAAGGCCCTGCGGGAAAAATAAAGATTTCTTTCCCAGAGTCCTGCGGTGCTTTTGCAAGTCGGATTCCGGCAGACACGATCTGCAGCCGGATAATGACACAGTCTTTGGAAGGAGCAACTGTTCTCGCCTCGTTCGCTCCCAGTTCTGGGGACGCCTGGCCGCCCGCGCTGTGTCCCAACGGGCCAGTGTCCGACCCCGACCCGGGTGCCAGGCCAGCGGCACCCCCGCCCCGGGCCCTCCTCCCCTTAGTCGGCCCCACAGCGGTCTGCAAACATTTCCTGCCTCCGCCCTCACCCCCACCAGGAGCTTCCCAGTTGGAGCGAGTTGAGCTCGAAGCCGGGTCAGCGCTCCCAGTTGCCCCAACTCGGCCCCCCGGCCACCAGGGCTGGAGAGGGGGCCCCCAGTCAGGCTCGGGAGCAGCCTTCGGGGAAACCCAGGCGCCAGGAACCGCAGGAGGTCGCCTGGGAAGCCTCAGGCTCGGGCAAGGAGGGGGACAACTGGCGGGCCGTAGCCCTGCTCCCTTTCCCGTCGTTACCTGCTCGCTTGCGGGGGTGTCCCGGGGCGGCCGGCCTCTCTCCGCGCTGTCTCCCCACGCAGTTGCCCATGCTGGCTCCTCAGCCGGGCCCCATGCACCGGAGGCGGCGGGCTGGTCAACTGCTCCGCGCTCCTGCCCCGGACAGCGGTGTCCGGGGTCAACGGCTCCTGTCGCCCGTCATCGGGCGCTCCCCGATCTCCCCCCGGGGGCTCGCTCTGCTCCAGCGCCGGCTTCGCCACAAACTTTGCGGACGAGGGGAGAGGGGGAGGTGGCCGACTCCCCAGCACAGTCCCAGGTGGCCGGGCCAGGGGGGCCCGCGACGGTGCCCGGCCCGAGATCAGCTCCGCTGGAGTGGCGGAGAGAGGGGGCGGGCACCGCCGCAGCTACACCCCGCTCTCTCAGGACTCCCAGCTGGGGCCGGCCCCCTGGAGCTTGTCACTCACCTGCCTAACCCCGCCCCAGCCCGGCCCAGCTCCTAGCTGCCGGCTCGCGGTGCCCCCGCCGCCGCCGCTGCCCGCCGCAGGTGCGCAAGTGACCGACGGCACCGCCCCCTCGGGCCGGGCCTGATTTTTTCATTGGTTTCACCCAGGATGCGTACCTCCCCTCGACCCCACCCTGTCAGGTACCCGCCTCGCCGCCCGTCTCCTGGGTGGTAGGGACCGGAATTGCTCGCCCTCAATGGCCCCCGGCTGCCTGCCCAGCAGCCACCTCCCCTCTCCGGGCCACCACCCCGACTCTAGGCCCCGCCCCTCGGGGAGGGACCGTTCCGTCCCTCCCTGGAACTGCCTGGCCAGGAGCCGGCAAGCACGTGATCCAGGGAGCGCCCCGTCCCCACCGCCTTCACCAGCCGATTGGCTCAGAAGGCGCGTGCGCCGAGAGGCCCGTCCCGCGCCACAGCCCACTTCCCCTCCCACGGTGTCTAGTTCGCGTCATGGCGGCTGCCGCCGAACTGGAGGCGGTGGCGCCCACGGGCGCCCTGTGGGGCCTCGTGCACGACTTCGTCATGGGTCAGCAGGAGGGCCCCGCTGACCAAGTGGCTGCAGGTACGGCCGACGTCGCAGCGCGGCTACGGCATGGGGGCCGACAGGAGGGAGCAGCCTCGGCGCTGGCGCCGGGCGGGAAGGGAGTGAGGGACAGCAGTGACTTTGAGAGATTGGTCTGGGGCAGGTTGTGAGCATCGTGTACTTAAGAGCCGTAACAAACTGAGAGTCCCTTGCACCTTCCTTAAAGCGCCTTTGCGCCCTTCATCTTCGTTTACAGTTACCTGTGCGCCGCCCGAGTTAGGAGAGTCATTACTGTCTCACAGATCAGGAGACAGGCCCAGCGAGGGCAAGAGCCTCGCAGATCAGGCAGGAGGGGAAACCAGGACCCGGACCCCGATGCTCCAGTTTAGAATCTGGTGCTCACGCCGCGAAAGCACGTTGTGCCCGGGAGGTTGACGTGAGAAGTACCTTCAGCGACATCAGCTCCAGGCGCGTGGCATGTTGGGAGTGGCCCGGAGGCCAGCGCTCCGGCTGTAATTGGAGAGACAGGGAAGCCAGCCTGGGGGACTTTGAGATGTTCTGCGTATCCTCCTTAAGACTCCCTCCGTTTCGTGGTCGAGTTCTTGGTTAATTTACTTCATAACTTTTTTATGTGATGTTTGTTTTTATCTTTTCCCCAGATGTCCAATTTGCTGCTTTTGATCAGTTAAGGGATCTCTTAGTTCTGACCGTTTATCTAAGATTTGCATAAAACAAATTCCAGATTTCCTTGGAAGCCTGAGACTTCACTCTTTTAGGAAAAAAAAAATAGTAAAAGTTAGGAAGCCTTCAGACCTCGTGTTAAGTAATAGACTACAAAATAATCTCATGAATACAGATGAGTTTTATCTAGTTTTGGAAATTTTTCATGCGTGGGGAAAAGTAAAGGACCCATTCATTTCTCTTGAAAATTGAACATATTCACTTTTGTATAAGAGATAAGTGAATATAGTGAATCTGCAGGAAGTATAATACTTTGGCCCTTAGCAATTCCACTTTTATTCAGTATTTCCATCATTATTGAACACATTATTCTCCAAACAGATGCAAAGTAATAGGAATATAAATACAAACTAGACTAGATATGTGCCCATCACTACACCATGAGAAAGAGTACCAGAGGTGTGTGCAAGATGGCATGAAAACATCAAGGAGCAAATGCCTGATGCTGCCGCTCCATTAGAGTTGACTGCTTACAGCTTTATGAAGTACAGTGTATTATCAGTGCTTACAGTTAACAAGTACAGTGCGTTATCAATGTCACTTTCCCCAGCATTTTATGAAAATTTTCAAACTTACAGCAAAGTCTAAAGAATTTTATAGGAAACACATACGCCCACCATCTAGATTCTACCATTAACATTTTAATAACTTGCTGTATCACATATCTATCCACCCATTTTAATTGGGGATATCAGTATACGTTCTCCTAAATATTTTGATAAGCATATTATTAAACCAAGTGTGTTTACAGTTTATTTTGATGTAAAATTTATATCCAGCGAAGTGTTCAAATTTTAAGTGTATGTTTACTAATTTTGAAAAATGCCTACACCTACAACCTACCAAGATAAAGAATATTGCTATATTATCAGTGTTAGTTGTAACTATTCTTTCACATTTATATATTATGAGCACAATAATTTTTAATTTTTCAAATTCAAAACACTTGAGAAGACACGATTAAGGAATGCCAAGTACTTATAAATATCTTTATAAAATTTATATTTTTATGCCTGAAATAAATGGCCTACACTATTGTCTAGTTAAATTTAATTCAGCACAGCTAAGACTGTAACACCAGCCCCGTTGTAATTTAACCCTCCTGACTAAGAAAGGAGGTTGGTAATAACATAAGTAGCGGGGGTAGTAACATAAGGTTGAAAAGGTTTTGTGGGGTTGGATTATGCATAGGCTTGGATTCCAGGAAGAGGGATGTAAATGACCTATTGTAGGTAATAGGAGTCATTGTAGATCCTTGAGCAAGGGAGTCACATAATGAAAGTGAATTTGAGAGGGATTAAATTGATATTCTCAGTCTTAGACTACACCCCTAGTTAGAGTTATTGAAGGCTGACTGACAGAGTTTTGAAGTGTCCCTAGAATCACTTGTGCTTTCTAATCCTCCATCCTAAATCAAGTTTTGTTACTGCTGAAGGAATCAGCATCTTTTCAGCCCCTCACAGCCACAGCCTCTCCTACAATTTATAAATGCAGAAAGAACACCCTGTGGTTGCAAAGGCAGCTACCACCAACTTTGTTTTTCACCTGGGCCCCTGATGTAAGTAGGTATCAGATGTAACGGTGTAAGTAATGGAAGAGAAATGATCTGGCAGCCTAAGGGTTAAAGGCTTCTCAGTCAGGCGTTCAAAGGTTGCCACTTCTGGCCCCAGCCTTTACTCTCACCACTCCTCTCCTGGGCCTTTAGTTCCAGACGGCCACCTTGATTTGCTATTCCCTGAGTGCTTTCCTTCCCAGTTTCCTCCACTACCTCTTTCTAATCAAAGTTAGACCTAGGATTTGAGGCCCCGTTTGAGTGCTCACTGCCTGCCCCCCCAAATGTTTCCTGATTACTCTAGCCAGACATCATTTCACACTTCATAATCTTTGTGGTACTTATTTCTCAACCACTCATATGCTTATTAGCAGACTTGCTTAGTAGCTATTTCTATACACATCTCCACATCCTACCCTCCTGTTCCTACCACCAGGGTCTCCTGGAAACTAGCATAAGTAGGTGTGCTGTAAAGAGCTACATATGTGAATGGAAATAAGAGGAGGAAGAATCTGTGGAATTTGAGGCCTGACTAGGTAAAGGGCTTAAAGGAGATGGAGGACACTTAAGATGACCCCTAGTTTTTGAGCCTGAGTATAAGCAAAAGAGAAATACTTTGTTCAATAATGGAGTTGAGAATGGAGCTGGTTTTAAAAAATGGTGTTTTAAATTTTTTATTTATGGGTTTTTTTTATCCTCACCCGAGGACATTTTTCCATTTTTTGTTCAGGTAGACTGGGAGGGAGAGAGAGGAAGAGAGAGAGAGAAACATTGATGTGAAAGGGACACATCAAGTGGCTGCCACCCCCATGACCAACCAGGGCCAGGGACAAACTGCAACCGAGGTACGTGCCCTTAGTGGGAACCGAACCCAGGTCTCTGGACAGCAGGCCGACGCTCTAACTGCTGAGCCAAACCGGCCAGGGCTATTTATTTTATTTTTTCCATCACCATTTATCTCCTCTATGCCCTTTTCCACCTCCACCCATGTCCCTCTCCCCTGCAATCACCGCACTGTTGTCCGGAAGAGTGTGATTTTTGGACATGTTGAATATATAAGGGATGAATGTAAATTTTCTTCCTCTTAGTTATTTGGATTGTCCTTCATTTTGGTCTTAATTTTACTTACTTATTTTAATCAAGTTAAAAAAATTTTTTATCTTTATTGATTTGTAGAGAGGGAGGAAGGGAGAGGGAAAAACATCAAAGGGAGAGAACATTGATTGGCTGCCTCCTGCATGCCAATAGGGCCAGATCCCCAGTGGGCATGTGCCCTGACCAGGAATGGAACCAGCTGCCTGTTGGTGCATGGGTCGAAGCTCAACCACTGAGCCACACCAGCTGGGCTGGTCTTTATTTTATATTGTATTGTCCCACATTTGTGATTCCCTGAGGAGACCACTATTCCTGAATCCAAAAGATTGTTAGACTATTAAAGGACAGTAAAATATAGTTCTGAGAAATGTGTATGGCATCCTCAGCAGAAAGGACGTTTGGAGAGCTTGAATGGAACTGAGTCGTCATTGGGATTTTTCTTTCTCCTGCTCCTTCATATACCCTCCACCCCTTGGCTGCTGCTCCAGATTCTCAAGAGGCTGCAACTCCGTCAGACAGAGGTCTGATTGTGCATTCTATGTCAGTCTCATATAAATACTCCTTTGACAACACTCAGTGCCCCACAGGAACTGGTGCCCTGCTGAGGAAAGTGTGGGTAGTTAGGAGGTGCTAATAGGTCCATTTTTAGAGAGCGAATCTTGGGACACATTGGAAAAACTTAGGTCTACCTATATAGGGAAAGGAACTTTGACTTATTTTTCCTTAATGCCAGTGAGGCTACCCTTAGTTAAATTAACTGTCTATTAGCTTCCTTCATCCCAGGAGTCCAAGTACATAATTAACAGTACTTCCAGATATTTTACATTTGGGAGAATTTATAGTGTTAAGAGAATGACTCAGTAAAAGTTAGTGAGGGGTGGTCCATAAACCCAGGAATTTTACTCCTTCTGTTAACCCAATCTCTATATCACTAAAGTAATACTGAACTTCTTACACTGTGATTGTTTTAGATGTCTTGCTGCCCCAACAGACTGTGGGCTCTCTAGTAAAAGCTCCCTGTTGCCCAGCCG